TAATAAATACTAAAATTTTCTCTCTTTCTCCCCCCTTTAAAAAAAAAAATCTTTTGCTAAATCCAAAGGACTTAAGCCATTCTTCACAGAAGGCCATCTTTATTATTATGTGTAGATTTTAACTGATGTTTTGTTAATTTAACCCACAGATCTCTATCTATAAAATGAATATAATACCTTCTTGAATGATTGGTTTTTAAGGATCAGAATTTCATGAGGTGGCATGTGTGAAATTTTTACTTTGAGGTGGCTTTTTTAAAAAACAGAATTTCAGATAAATCTGACCTCTGTTTACCTGTTAATTKTTCTCCAGGTAAAAATCAATAGCCTGGGTAAATATCAAATGAGCTATAAAATTTTGTTTTCATTGTTTATAAAATATCTTCCTAGGGACTGAGTTTGAGGTTTGCAAAAATTTAGCAATCTCATTTTCAGATCTTGTACTAGTTAGTTAAATGCTCATAGGATATATTTTTAAACAAAGAACCTTATGAAGTCATTTTCAGCTAGAGTTCTTAAGTGAGTGTAGTTTCTAAAGTTTGTCCAGTTTATGTGAGAGATGTGTTCTATTTGTGGCTGTGATACTGTCTGTCCATTGTGAGATTCTACCAAGTTGCTAAAGGTCCCAAACGGGTGCTGCTTTGGTTAACTTAATCCCCAATACTACAGTATTAAAAGTTGTGGACCTTCGGAGGTGATTGAGCCATCATGGCCCTACCCTCATGGGATTGGCACTGTTATAAAGGAGTTTAAGGTTGAAGGGGGAGCATTCTCTCATCCCTCTGCCTTGTGAAGAGATGAGACAAAGCCTTCACCAGACACWAAATGCCAGCATCTTAATCTTGGACTTCTCAGCCTTCAGAACTATCAGAAATAAATCCTTACTGTTTATAAATTACCCAGTGTATAATATTTTATTATAGTACTATAAGTGGACTAAGACAGATGGTTACTCCAATTATGTCATCCTAAAACACAAGCTTAATTACATTATTTGATTATAAAAACTGCCTTTGCTCAAGCTCCATCTTCTGATTCTGTGTTCTAAGTTTAATTTCTTACTATGTTACCTGGATCATCTTTCTATGCTACAGGTGGTAGACAGAATGTTAACCTCTCAATCTTATCTATTCTAATCCCTGCAACCTAGGAATGTGTTATCATACATGGAAGAGAGCAGTTAAGATTCCTAATTGGTTAACTTTAAAATAAGAATATTTTCATGAATGAAAGGGGTTGACCCAAGTATAGTCATAAGGATTCTTAAAAATTGGTGTGGAATTCAAAGGACAAGTTCARCTATAGGATACAAGAAGAATACATTGTTCTTGGTTTTAAAGAGAGAGGAAGAAAGGAATATGTGTGGCTTCTAGAAGTTGGAAAGGAATAGAAACAAATTCTTCCTGAGGAAAAGTAATGCAGACCTACCAAAACCTTGATTTTAGCTCATTGAAACCCATTATGTTTCTGAACTAGAAAACTACAAGATCATAAGTTTGTGTGTTTTAAACCACTACATTGGGCTGAGAATGTTGATAAGTAATAAATCCTTGCCTAGAATGCGTGAGTCCCTGGGTTTGATAACTAATACAGCAAAACCAAACAAAAACCAGTAMGTTTGTAGCAATTTATTAATAAAGCCATAGAAAACATTCCATAACTTTGATAAAAATTATAATTTGGCATCATTTTCAATTTCTTTGCAATTTTATAGTACTAAAGTGTGAGCAATTACCATCCAGCTATTAGGCTTAGGGTGGTAGACTATATACAGCAGATCTGGCCATGGTCTACCATGCAATGTCTTTATTTTTACATTGCCAACCCCTAATACAATGACTGCCAAAGCAGAGAGCATAGTAACAGTTTGTGGGGTAAATAAATATATGTTCTAATTAGAGTTCAAATCAGGATTGTTGTTAGGTATGCATTATTGATTTATGTTCATCTTTTGTGTGGTAAAAGTGAGTTGTTAAGTGAATGTAGTTTTTAAAGTTGACTAAAGAAATAGGTTAAGATGGGTTTTCAAACTTAAGTGTCCATTGGAATCACCTGGTGAGTCTGGTAAAACACAGATTTCTAACCCTCAGGCTTACATTTTTTAATTCAGTACCTTTGGGTGGAGCCTGAAAATTTGCAGGCTGATATTGCTATTCTGGTGCTCACTCTTTTGACATTTCATTCCTCAGCCCCTCTTGGATGCACTCCAAGTCTATAGGCTTGCGTAGTACAATTACTAGTTTCCCTGAGGTTTGTTCCTCCTTCCCAACCCCTAGCTTTCCTGCCTCAGAAAATAAACATTCATTTAGTTCTTTTCATTTGAATAGAGAATAATAAAGCTAAACTTTAAAACAATCTAAAATTGAAATGGAGACATTAAAAAGGTTAACAAATTCTTTAAATCCTATTATTGAAAAGAATCTGAGATTTTGATTCCCTACTGAGATGACTATCCTCCTGGAGGGTTTACCTGGCACTCTTAGATTATATAAGACTTCCTATGAATCACTCCACAACACACTACTTCCACAAAAATAACCCTTCAGCATACTTCTGTCATTGTATTCACCCATGCCATTTTGTGATTTTTCTATATATTTTGTCCACTACACAGTTTATCTTCTGTCTTAATGCTTTCCATAGTAGTATCTACCAATTAAGATGTGCTAGATAATGCTACARAAGGAAGAAATAAATAAGCAAGTGAAGTACAACCCTTTGCTTCTATTTCCCAGAGATGGTGGGATCTGTCAGGTTTTCTTATCCCTTTCAAAGCTACTGGCAAGGCTGAAGAATGTTTGCTTTTAAGGGGTAAATTGAAGCTCTGAAGATGTCTTGATTGGGTGTCACTCATTCAGCTAAGTCACCCACCATGCCCTCCTAATTCACCAAATAAATAAATTTAARAATTTCTTAAAATAATTTCTCTCTTTTTTTCTGTATGTGATTATCTGCTTATTTGGCTGTGTTCCTATCAGTCAGTTGAACAATTGTTTTGTTTTTTTTTTTTTTCCCTCCCTGGAAAACTTGTAGGATCTTTTCTTTGTTGCCATTGTTCTGAAATTTTATGATCATATACTTAAATGTGATTGTATTTTTATTCATTCTATTTGGCATTTAGTGGGCTTTTTAAATTTGAAGTTTTTAAAATTATTATTTAGGGTTTTTAAAATTAAAGGCAGTAAATGGACTGGGCTTGTGGCTCAGTGGTAGAGTGCTTGCCTAGCATGTGTGAGGTACTGGGTTCARTTCTCAGTACCACATGTAAAAACAAATAAATGAAATAAAGGTCCATCAACAACTAAAAAAAAATTTTTWAAAGGTAGTAAATGTACATGTGAAAAAAATTAACCAATACATGAGCATATATAAAGAAAGTAAATTTACCTTTTCACCAATCTCCTTTCCATATACAATAGCCATTCTGTTTAGTTCTTTATGATGGTGATTATTAAAAGCACCTCTTTAGAAATCAAGAATATCATAATATATAATCATGGTAATGTACATACATATTTTAAAAATAGGCACTGGGGTTCTGGCTCTGGTAAAACACTTGCCTAAAGTGCTTGCTTTACCAGAGCCAGAACCGCAGTCCCTATTTTTAAAATATGTATGTACTTGCCTAGTATACATGAGGCTTGGGTTCAATCCCCAGCACCACATAAAAATAAATAAATAAAAGTATCATGTCCATAGACAACTAAAAAAATATTTWAAAAAAATAATGCTGAGTTTTGCCACTACTTTATCATTGCCTCTCTGCTTATGTAATTTTGGAAAAGTATTATATAGTAATATAACCAAACTTCTGGGAAATTTCTAAATACGAAAGTACTCACTTGATACTTATATTTACGTTCATGTCTTTTATTTCTGTTTGATATTCTGCCATTTGTTCATGTTGTATTTGCGTGATAAATTATATTTTTTCAAAGCGGGTATTTGTTTATTACTACTACTAGTACTAGTATTGTTATTTTGGTACTAGGGATTGAACCCAGGGGATTGACTTTAATTCTTTCAGATAAATATCAATACCCAGGTCCTTCTACTGAGCCACATTCCCGGTCTTTTTTATTTTATTTTGAGACAGTCTCACTAAGTTGATTAGGACTGAAGCTAAGTTTCTAAGGCTAGCTTTGAACTTGTAATCTTTTTGCCTCAGCCTCCCAAAGTCATTGGTATAACAGGTATGCACTACTATACCTGGATTTTTTTTAATTCACAGAAAGTGTACATGTATTTTAATTGTTTTTTATTAATGAATAACTGATAAACTCAGTGTGAGAGAAACACACTTAGTAATATTCAACAAATGTTTATTGAATGCCTACTGGGCTAAAGCAATATCAGTGAGATTAAACTTCTCAAGTTTTCCTTTGGATTGTCTTATGCTTAACATTAATGAATTCTGGGACTATTTCATTTTTTTCACATTGTTAAAAATAAGTACTTTAATTCACTTCATTCTAGATTGTTCTTTTGCAAAACAAAAGAATCCCAAACAATCAAAAAACCCACAAAGTCATTTCTTTTAAATGATATTGGGTTTTTTTTTTTTTTTTTTTTAAACACCATATGATGACAGTGTTAAAACAGTCTCTGGAATTTAGTGAAGTGGTTGATGATGTGTGAATATGTGATCAGACATATATGTGAGGAAAATATGTATTGCAAATAAAGTATTATATYTTAAGATTTTAACTGATAAAATATCCAAGAGTTTGACTACAGAATTTGTTGGATTTTAAGTGATTAAGAATAATTAGCTTTATTGTATTCTAAACTGAAGCTAGGTATATTCTTATGTATTTTATGTACTTTTATGTATTTTAACTAGTATGTTCTTGATGGAGATTTGAGTTAATGGGACTAAATGTGACTAAATGCACTCTAATAATATCTAGAAGTCATGCATACTATTTTTATATATTATTAAGATTTTTGAAAATGACTGTAATATAAATATTGGTTTTATATGCCTTTTCTTTTGCCAGATGATGGGCCTAGTCAAGACTCTGTTACTGAGACTGCCATGACACTGCCAAGTGAATCCAGAGTTAATATGCATGCTATCGTCGCATTAAAATTATTAGACTATAGGTATGTAATTCATTTCTTCCCTTTTTCTAATTTTTTTAAATTCATGCATTAGAACTGTATATAACAGAGGGATTCCTTGTTGCATATTCATACATGCACATAATATATCAGAATTATTTGGCCAGTGTCGCTCCCTAACACTTCTCCCTTCCTCCCTCCCTCCCCACCTCCTTTCCTTTACTGATCTCCCTTTGATTTTCATGAAATTCCCACCCTCTCTTTCTTTTCCTTTGTCCTCTCTAGCTTCTGCATACAAGAGAAAACATGACCCTTGACCAGCTGAGTTTGGCTTATTTCACTTAACATAATGTTCTCTAGTTCCATGCATTTTCCTACAAATGACATAACTTTATTTTTCTTTATGGCTGAAAAAAATTCCATTGTGTAAATAAACCACATTTTCTTAATCCATTCATTCATTGATGGACACCTAGGCTTTTTCCATAATTTGGCTATTATGAATTGTGCTGTTATAAACATGGGCATTCATGTGTCACTATAGTACTTTAATTCTTTAAGATAAATATCAAGGAGTGGTATAGCTGAATCTTATGATGCTTCCATGCCTAGTCTTTTAAGGAGCTTCCATACTGATTTCCATAGTAGTTGCAWTAATTTACAATGCCACCAACAGTGTAGAAATGTCCCTTTTTCTTCACATTCTGTCTAGTATTTATGTGTATTCTTTTTAAAAAATATTTTTTAGTTGTATATGGACACAATATCTTTGTTTATTTTTATGTGGTGCCTCACAGTGCCTCCCAGTGCCTCCCAGTGCAAGGCAAGTTCTCTACCACTGAGCTGCAGCCCCAGCCCCTATTATTTGTATTCTTGATGACTACCATTCTGGCTGTTGTGAGATGAAATCTCACTGTAGTTTTGATTTGCATTTCCCTAATTGCTAATGACGTTAGACATTTTTTCCATCTCTCTGTTGGCCATTTGTATGCATATTTAATTAGTTTGCCTATTTATTAATTGGGTTATTTGATTTTGGTATTAAGTTTTTTGAGTTCTCTATATATTCTAGATATTAATTTTTTGTCAGAAGAGTTGCTAACAGGTGCGGTGGTGCACACCTGTAATCCCAGTGGCTGGGGAGGCTGAAGCAGGAGGATTGTAAGTTCAAAGCCAGCCTCAACAAATTTGAGGTACTAAGCAGCTCAGTAAGACCCTGTCTCTAAATACAAAGTAGGGGAGGGGATGTGGCTCAGTGGTCAAGTGCACCCGAGTTCAATCCCTACTACCGAAACAACAACAACAGAAGTAGTAGCAAAGATTTTCTCCTATTCTGTAAGTTCCTTCTTCATATTCCTAATATTTTTCTTTGTTGTTCAGAAGCTTTTTAATTTGGTGCCATCATATTTATTAACTCTTGGCATTATTTCCTGAGCTTCAGAGGTCCTGTTAAGAAAGTCGTTACTTGTGCCTATGTGCTGTAGTGTTGACCCTACATTTTCTTCTAGGAGTTGCATAGTTTCTGGTTTAATTCCTAGCTCTTTGATTCATTTTGAGTTTATCTTTGTGCAGGATGAGAAATAAGGGTATAGTTTCATTCTTCTACGTGTGAAAAACCAGTTTTCCCAGCACCATTTGTTAAAAAGACTGTCTTTTCTCCAATATATGTTTTTGGCACCTTTGTCAAGGATCAGATGTTTGCAGACATGTGGGTTTGTCTCTGTATATTCTATTCTGTATCATTGGTCTRTGTGTCTTGTTTTTATGCCAGTTCCATGCAGTTTTTATTATTATGACCCTCTAATATAATTTGAAGTCAGATATTGTGATGCTTATAGCATTGCTTTTTTGGCTTAAAATTGCTTTGGTTGGTGTTATATTCTTCCAAATGAATTTTAGGACTTTTTTCTAGTTTCGTAAAGAAAGTCATTGATATTTCGATGGGGATTGCATTGAATCTATTTACATCTTTTGGTAATATGTACATTTTAAGAACATTAATTCTGCCAGTCATGAACATGGGAGGTCTTTCCATCTTCTGGGGTCTTCAATTTCTTTCTTCAGTGTTCTATAGTTTCCATTGTGGAGCTCTTTTGCCTTCTTGGTTAGATTTATTTCTAGATGTTTTCTTTCTTTATTTATTATTTTGATGCTATTGTGAGTGAATTGTTTTTCTGATTTCTTTCTCGGCAGATTCACTGTTGGTATTATAGGAAAGCTATTGATTTTGGTATGTTTACTTTGTAATATGCTACTTTACCAAATTTGTTTATTAGCTCTAGCAGTCATTTGGTGGAGTTTTTGGTGTAATTCGTTTTTAAAAGACATTACAAAACACATAGAAAGCTTTCAAGACAGAATCTTCAGAAAAGGAACAATTGGTKAATAAAAATTAATCAGAGTACCCAGAATAATAGCAACTGCAAAAAGAGTGATGAAATAAATGCACATTGAAAGTATAATGAACTTAACTGCCCATCCTTTAAGTGATTTGTGTTTATTATACTTAAGCTGTATTAATAATATTTTAATATTGAATATAAAATAATGAAGATATAATTATAAAAATAATATTAAATGTAAAATGATATAAAAGAGACTTATTATTGGTAATAAAGTTCTTTGAATCAGTAATCAATATTAGAGAGTTGATCCAGAGGGTATTGGAGGGTAAATCTGTGTTAGTTAAATAAGAGATACTTATCATTTAGTTAATGAAGAACCTGAAAAACAGGCAAAGCTTGAGAGGTTAATTTAACCAAATATTAGTTAATAACATGACATAGTTACAAGATGCTCCTATAGCAGATATATTAAAACTGAAGCCATTACAATGTTAGTATATAAATTGAGATTAAAAACCTAAAAATTTAATGGAAGTATATTAATCTGGGGAAAGATGATACCTTATAAAAATAAGAGATACAGTCAAGAGTTTCTGGTGATTGGTTCAGGTATGGGTACTGCAAGGAAAACAAAAGAATACAGACTCAAGTCAGATAGGTCACTAGATTTATTCAAGAATTAACACAACTGGGCTGGGCACAGTGGCTCATGCAGGTAATCCCAGTGGCTCAAGGGGCTGAGGCAGGAGGATTGCCAAGTTCAAAGCCAGCTTCAGCGAAAGTGAGGCTCCAATCAACTCAGACCCTGTCTCTAAATAAAAAATACAAAATAGGGCTGGGGATGTGACTCAGTGGTTGAGTGCCTCTTACTTAATCCCCAGTACAATTAAAAAAAAAAAAAAGAATCAATACAACCATCATCAGCGTCTGGCCACTTATCCTTAATGTGTCAATAAAAGCATGTTCTCAGTATTCAGGATACAGTCTCCATTTCCCATTGTTTTTCATTCACTTGTTCTCATGTCTTGTTTGCCACTCTTTGATGTATGTAGAAATTAACTGCTCTAAGCCAAGTTTCTTTTGTCACACTTACTTAGGCAGTATTCCTCTATATCTACATTTGTATTTCTTTTATATAGCATTGTACCTTAGCATATCTTCCACATAATGTAATCTGTTCAGTACATGTTCTTGAAATCTATTAAGTACCAAATTCTATGCTGTGTACTTTATKATTTATAAGGTAGTATTTAGGATAAGTAGGGTAACCTTTTCTACTTTTTAAGGGCATAGATACTACAAAAGCATGAAAAAACAGGTATGTCTTAGGTTGCTTGGATTATAACTTTTTATTGTAACTTGTTTTTCTCAATACTTTAATTTGAATCAAGTATTCTTTTTAAAATATAAAATAATGGGGGGCTGGAGTTGTGGCTCAATGGTAGAGCACTTGCCTGGCATGTGTGAGGCCCCGGGTTTGATCCTCAGCACCGCAAAAGAGTAAATAAATAAATAAATATATAAAGTGAAAGATCCACTGACAACTAAAAAATATCCAAGCAAGTATAAATTCATTCAACTAAATTCTAAAAATAGTGTGACTCTTTCAACTTTGATTGGCATAAATCATTTATCTATGATTCGAGCATTTATAATTAAAAAGATGAAAATGCTATATCTGTTCAACAGAAAATGGAGCACTAAAGCAGAAATAGGAGGCATAATAACTGGAATTTTGTTCCATTTTTTCCTATCTGTAATATGATGGCTTTCTTACTCAGTTCCATGTAATACATTCTCTTGTCCTTATAGTCCTTATAGTCAGTCATTCATTTGTCATTCCATTTAAGTTTCCTTGAAGTGAATGACATTGTGTTAAGCATTAATAGTGGTTAAAAAAATAATAATAACTAGCTCTTCAGATTCTGATTTTAAAGTACTAAGCTTCAGGGAAGGTAAATTGCAAACTTATTAATGGTAGAACCGGGAATAGTTTGTCTCAGTCCAGTATTCTGCCTACCTAGTCACATACCAGGAGAGAGAAATTTGTCTAGGTGATTGACCTGAAACTAATTTAGTATAATGTTGAACTTTTAAAAGTGATATTTTGTAGTACCCAAAGAAAGTTGGCAGATAACCCCCTCTTACAAGTTTTTTAAGAAAAGGGGCAACAACTAACTTTTAAAATTATGGATTTCTTAGTCAGAGGTAAACATGTCCATTTGCTATATGATTTCTAGTTTTCCTAGACTCTGAAAGTATTTCTCTGTTTTTGTTCATATTTTAGTATGCRAGTGTGCAGAAAGTGTGGCACAATGTGTTGTAACACAGTTCACTGTCTCAATTCTACACAGTGAGCTGGTAAATTTTTGTGCCATTCTTTACAAAACTTCATAATCACTACCTTGGAAATTTTTTTGCCAGGGGCGGGGGGTACCAGAGATTGAACTCAGGGGATCTCGACCACTGAGTCATATCCCCAGCCTTATTTTTTGTATTTTATTTAGAGACAGGGTCTCACTGAGTTGCTTTAATGCCACTGTTGCTGAGGCTGGCTTTGAACTTGCAGTCCTCCTGCCTAAGCCTCCTGAGCCACTAGGGTTATAGGTGTGTGCCACCACACCCAGCTTACCTTGGAAATTTTTATAAAATATTTGAAAACCTTTAAAAATGAAGAATAACAATTATATATTTCTGACTTGCTAAGAATATTTCATTTTTATACCATTTTTCATTTAGTGATAAGCAAGCACCTTTCATTCCTGATGAAGTGTTTGATGCAGTAAAAAACAATATCATCACTTCTGTTAACTTCAGTAAGAATCAACTATGTGAAATTCCAAAAAGGTAAGAACTATTCATGATGCAGTTTCTATTAAGTCATGACTCATTAATATTAGAGGAAAATAGCAAAATGTTTATGATACTTTTATTTGTTCTGGGAGGTAAAGAGGATTTTTAAAACTTTGTTTCTCTTTCCTTTACATTGTAAACTTGGAAAGTAGGTATGAAAGTTATTAAAATATTAAATTAATTTTCCTATATAATGAAATATTAAAGGAAAATTGTTAAGAGACTACAGAATGCCAGGTTTGTGTGGATTTATAAAAATTTCATTTTGGACCTTAATGAATTGCCAAGCCACTGAAATTTCCTAGTGATTAAAAAAAGCAAAATTGAACCCTGTTAATAATTTCTTCTCTGAAAGAGTTCCTCACTTACAATTATTAGAACTCAGTTGCCTTATGGTTTGTACTATTTAGCCTTATAGTTTGTACTATTTAGTACATCTTGGGTTATGAAAGGAAATTAGTATATTGTTGAATTTTTTAAAATGTTTGTTACCTAGCAGGAAACAATATACCCAGAAAAAATTGACAAATAATCTAGTGATAATAATATAACTGTGAGACTGAATATAGTAATAAGGAACTTGAGCAACAGAGTCATTGTTTATTCTGTATCCTAGATCTTCTAAGTGTGGTTTTGATCAAGTCACATAGCTGTTCTTAGTTTTCTCACCTATGAAGTGGGAAGAATAATAATATCTGTTTATAAGAATTAAATTAAAGAAAAAAATCCAGATATCATGTTTAACCTGGCCTAGTAAGCACTTACATATTAAAAGGGAAAAAAAATGATGAGGACAATATATTGAGAAAATAGAATGGCTTTTGTCTGACTGTCCCCAAATTTTTTCATGTTTAAAATTTTTAAAAAGGTAGTCAAAGCATAAAATTCATTCTGTTTACAATACATAGTTCAAGAAATATAGATCCTCAAGGATGACAACTTTAAGAACATTTATTGCAAAGGGAGATTTGGCCCATCTTCTGGTTTTTCCTTGTTTAAAGGCCGGAGAGGATATTTGATAGGATAGTTGAACATTTAGATTTGTTTGCAGATAAGATAAGTTTGTTTTGGGGGGACTAGGATCAAACAAGTAAATTGGGAATAAAGATAAATTTATGACATTAACTTATTACTTTCTCATTTTATTCCACAAATCTGGTTMTTGTGTTCCCACAGCTACTGTGCCACTTTTTTAGCAACTTAGAAAGTCAAAGAAGAAAGATAATAAAAACATACTTTGTTTTAGAGAATTTCTAAACCAATTTCTCTCTTTCTTACATTTTTAATTTATAATTCATACATTTTACCATATGTTCTGACTATAAAAACAATTTATATTCATAAGCTTTTTGGACCAAATGAAGGGACATATCAGTTATAGTCCTATTACTGATATGTTCTGTTGACTTAAAGATACTTTATTTCATGCAGTTCCCATCTGTAATTATACATACATATTTGTTTACCTATGTTGTAAACAACCCTTTAAAAATCTAATTTACCTAAATAGCATAYGGTTAATTATAGCAATAAATCATTTTTTCTTTAGGCCAAATTTCCAGAAAAAATTTCAAGTCAAAGAATTTGACTTATAATGTATATATCTAATAACTTTTTTGAAAATGTTTTGTCAGTTATACCTCAGAACACTTATATTCCATCATCTGCACAGCATTTCATATTTATTCTTCTTCTTTGCTAATGTGATAGACTAAAAMTGATTTGTAACAGTTTAACTTTTGTTTCTTAGCAATCATGGTGTAATTAAAACTATTAAGCTTGCTTATACTTACTTAGAAATGCTTAATATTTCCTCTTTAAGTCTTTAACCTAAGCTGCTTAGTGGTGTCACTTGCCAAACCTACAAATTCATTTCATTTTCTTATAATCGTCATTAAATTAATGACAATTTAAATAATGGATACTATAAAAAAGTTAATATCATGATATTTTTAAAATATTTTGAGGTAGACTGAGAAAATAGCCCAGTAGTAGAGAAGTCACTCAGCATGTATGAGACCTTGAATTTAACTCCAAGTACCTCAAAAAATAAAATATATATGTTCAACAATTTATTTCATGGATTCAGGTCATTAGTAGAATAAGTATAAAAATTTCCTAGACCTGCTTTTTCCCATTTGTACCACACTTGTTTTAAATACTGAAGTGAGTATATTTTAAAATTAAACTTCAACATAGACTTAGGATCAAATAGAAATTCTTAGACAAAGGATAGTAATAGCTATCTAATTTTTTAAATTTTTATTAGCTACATAACTTAAACTAATTTTTTGTGAAAAAATAAAATATAGAAAGTCATAATTAGAAATAATATAGGATTTTTTTCTGTTATGTTCTGCTTTGTTTTGAAGTCCTAAGAGTGAATTCAATGCTAACATTTTTTAACAACTATTTTTGTTTCAGGATTATAGAACTGAAGGAAATGGTTTCTGATGTCAATCTCAGTTTTAATAAGCTTTCCTTTATATCCTTGGAGTTATGTATGCTTCAGAAATTGACGTTTTTAGATCTAAGGTATTTATTGCTATTGTTGTTTGACTTTTTCAAAATTATAACTTGTCTCTAAGTTTTGCCTAACTTGCCTTTTATGTCATGTTTTCATAGGTAAGTATGGAAACTGGTCTTTATTAGCAATACTTTAATGGAAATCTAAAATTAAGTATTAAAGAAACATTTTAATCAGTTAGCATTCRTAAGCACTTTATAAGTTGTGATAAGACAAAATTATTTAAAATGTTAAAAATAATAGCACATTCTTTAGATTCCTACCTAAGCAAAATTACAAATAACACAAAATATTTGTAATATGGAAAATATTTCCTTTGTATTGTTTATTTCCTGCAAGTAGATAGCATAAAATTGGCACAACCCTTGCTGGCACAGCAGTTTGCAAAGCTTCTCTTTAAGGAAACTACTTGGTTTCACAATAGTTTGTTAAATACACAAGACCATAAATAAAGTTTAAAAAAAAAAGAAAAAGAAAATACTTGACAACAAAAAGAAACTGCKTTAGGCTTTATGGAAGTAATAGGACATTTAAGTGTGTCCAACTTGAAGTGATGGAGATCAAAAGTATGACAGTTCTTTAAGGATACCATTAGATGTCTCAATAGTTAGTTATTTGCTTAGAATCTAATATTTTTTTTTTTTTTGGTAAACTATATCTTTTTGCTTGRACTTTTCCATGTCTTTATATTATTTCTAGATGTGCTATCATTTATTTAAAGACTAACTGTTCCTACTTTGCTCAGTTTTCAAATAACAACAAGTTATATATCTTTTTTAGGCTTTGTTCTTGTACAGATGTATTTTTACTTATGTAATTCAAGTAAATGTACTAACATTCTGTTCCAATTAGATGTGGAACTGCTTCTATATGGGGATTGCAATTATAATAGGAAAACTATAAAAATCATATTTTAGTTCAGTAATAATGCAGCTGAGGAAATGAATCCATCTCTCCATTGCTGCTATCTGTCTATTTTTGGCTCAATCTTCTGTTTGTATAAATGGGCCTGTCTGTATCTGTACCTGGAATTTCTAATTAAGTGACCAAATTTGACTTTCATGTCTGATAGCAATAACTATAACATTGTCTAGGAAAAGGATAGTAATCAGCAATGGGTTATTCAACACAACTTAATATAGATGATAGTTGGAGAAAAATATAAAGAAAAAAAGGACATAGGTTGTAAGATTCTTATTACACATTTGGCTTGACTTTTTAWTAGTTTCTTTTAGTTATATATAATATTAGGGGTTCATTTTAACATAATTATACATTTATGGAATATAAAGTCTTGACTATTAAACCTAAAGAAGTAGGTTAGAGAAAATTACTTGGTTTTAATAGGCACCTAGTTGGGAAATATTCTCTAACAAATGTTTTCTATTAGTAGTTATTCTGTCTCTGCCTTCTTGTTAATCTTCTAGCATTGTTCTCAGATCCTTCCAATAATGAATAAGATTCTGTTTATTGCCATGTTTCATTATAACACCTAAAAATCAAAATATTCACTGTACAAATTGAAATTTTATACTTAGAATAGAAATGAACTTAATACCTYGAGTAGAAAGATCCAGGTTTCCAAACCTATAAAATCTCTTTAACATGCTTTATTTTTTTCTTGTAATGTTTCAGTTCTTCTTGGAGTAAAATGTCATGTCTGTTTACAAGATATACATATTAACACTGAGAGAATATTTGTTTTGTGCGGAATTATAAACATGACTAGACCATGACAAGTATTGCTGAACTCAATTTGATAGAGTTAAGAGATTAGGTTACAATGTTTATCTTGTTGAGTATTATTAAAAAGTTGTTTTCATTATCATTAGGTTGCATATTGGTGTTATTTAGATTGGATACACTAACCAAATGCTTGAACCAGTTGACTCAGAATTCTCAGAATTCAGCATTAATGAGATCAGATTAGGACTGACAAACTGATATGTGTACTCTTTTCTGCTCAAAATTTTAATTATAAATTAAACTCATAAAAATTTTTATTTTAATCTATTTTGATTTCTAATTTAGGAACAATTTTTTAAGTTCTTTGCCTGAAGAAATGAAATTGTTGATTAGACTACAAACGATCAATCTTTCCTTTAATAGGTAAGAGAACAGATAATTCTAACAGCCATTCTATGGAAAAATATATTGATCTTTCTTACTAGAGAAAACAATTTAAAAATGAAATAACAAAAAGAACCCATATTTTTACTTTATTTCAATATCCAGGTTTTATTTCATTTTGTTTATTTAGAATTGAGAGCAGTGTTGCTTTCTTAGAATTCTCACAATTGATGTCTAGCAGATTTTTTGTTCCATTTTACAATTTGTAGAAACCTGTAGCTTAGTAGAAAGACAAATATACAAATAAATAATTGTAATAAATAATTTATGGTGAATAATCATAATTGCTATAATGGAAACATAGTGCATAGGAAAAGGTCCACTGAGATTAACTGAAGGTAGAGGAGGTAGCATTGAAACCAAGGCTTAAATAGACATTTGCCAGGCACTTGGGGAGAAGATCCTAGTTAGAGCAAATAGCATGTGGTAGGCCCAAACATATATAAACATGGTATGTTTGAGAAACTTCAAAAAATTCAATATGCCTTGCTCTATAAATTGAGGAGCTAGTGGTATAGCGCAGACAGACAAGGTTGGGCATTTGAACAATAACTAGTCCCGTAAGAGCTTTTTAAGCTAAGTGAAACAGATTTTTTTTTCTACAAATACTATCATGATTCTGCAGATAATTCGAAATAACTAATATTTATTAGGAACARTTTATCTGCTGGTGCTGTGCTAAATACATGAATTAACCCTCTGTACAAAAATCCTGTTGTAGATTCTGTTAGTATTTGTATTTAAAAAGCAAAGATTCAAAGTTAAATAACTTACTTAAGGTGTACAAAAAAGTAAGTTATAAAGCTGKGATTTGAGTCTGGGTGGTTTTGCTCCAAAAGTGGGGCTGTTAGCACCTGTGGCATATTGTTTAATATGATAAAAATTGATTCTAACTGAAATTTAATAAAACTACTAAAAGCTAATATTTATTGTAACCCAGATAATCTAAGGTTTTCAAATATATTTATTTCCTCCTTAGAACAAACTTATATATTTTAGTACTATTAATTTTTCTTATGTATAGATGAAGAAGCTAATGCATAGTAATGTTAAAAGATATACTTATTTTAATTTTTATTCTTTCACTATTTGTGTTTTGTCACATATAGTGTATACCATTATTGTCATTATTTAAAAATATATGCACAGCTCAGATCTCACCTAATTTTTATTTCTAGATTGAACTATCAGGTATCTGTTGAGCTGTCTCTTGAGCTCTCAGTTGAATTGTAGTCTTGGTTATTGACTCTTAGTGACAGTGGGACTTCAGAGTTTTCTTGAGTTTCCCCATCACTATCACTTCTTTTGTATCCAAACAAGGAAGGAAGGAAGGAAGGACAGTATGGTGAAATKAAAAAGCCACAGATAAAAAGTTCTCTATCAGCCCTTCCTTTTCTTAGCTAGTTCAGGTTACAGTTTACCTCATACTGAAACTGGGACTGCCTGTATCCCTAAAGGGGACCTCCATGATTTTGTTAATTGTGAGTAATTACTCTGAGAACTATTAGCCTTTCTGTTTTTGTGGCATTCTCARGATTGGCATGGATAAGGATGTCAGTATCTATGCTAATTTGTCATCTTTTTTAAGAATCTGTAATGTACTCATTGTGGAACTTTCAGTCAAAGCAAAATATAAATCTCAAATTTTTCATAATAAGTTAATATGAACTAAGGACGAATACCTGCATGAATATATTAAATAGAAAATCTGAGGAAGATTTCCTTTTCCCCTGAATGAACAGAAAAACATAGAAGAATTTATTCTGAAGTTTTGTTTGATTTTATACAATCAATATAGTCTGTCCAATTAATATGTATTTCAAGGTTTCCAGAGTTAGTCCATTTTCTTTATTTTATGGAAAGTTTTAATTTAGGACACAACCAAATATATTGTAAAATACACTAATGGAAATATTATTTCCTGGTATAAAACTTAAGATCATCTATTTTAAGGATTTTGGCCTCTGATTCTAGTATATTTAGGTGTTCTGTTCATGTTTATTGATAGATTCAAAATGCTACCTGAAGTTCTCTATCATATCTCAACGCTTGAAACAATTCTGATTAGTAACAATCAGGTTGGATCTTTGGATGCTCTGAAAATGAAGATGATGGAAAATCTTAGCACATTGGACCTTCAGAATAATGACCTCCTACAAATTCCACCAGAGCTTGGTAATTGTGTGAACTTAAGGTACACTATTCTATTGAATTTTTCCATTTATTCAATTTATTTGTTGAAGTGATTTGTTGTTGTTCAGATAATGTTTTAGGAAGTGAAGTAACAAACAATATCCTGTTAAAAATAATAATTAACAAGACTCAGAATCCCAATTCTGTTTTTGAAATTTATCAAATATTTTTCTTGTTTTTATATATATGTTTTCTTATATATRTATAAACATGCTATTTGTATCTAGTAGTATTTTTATCATCTATTTCTTTGGGAGTTTTTTTTGGGGGGAGGGTACCAGAAATTAAACCTGGGGTGACTAACCTCTGCCACATCCCTTTGTATATTTTATTTTGAGACAGGGTCTGGCTAAKTTGCTTAGAGCCTTGCTAAGTTGCAGAGGCTAACTTTGAACTCAGGATCCTCCAGCCTCAAAATTCTGAGATGCTGGGATTACAGGCATGCACCACCATGCCAGTTCTCWTCTATTTCTTTTGAATACTATCCATATTCTCCAAGCAGAATTACTCTCTATTCTGATGTATCTTTCTTTAGAAAAGAGATGTTCCYGAACTTAGAACATATCGCTGGTTACGTGTATATAAAAGGAATTTGAGATGTTAATAAAAAGCCAATTAATTAAGCAGAATGTTAGAAATATTTTAATTAGTAAAAACTGCATGGTAATTGGTATATTTCACTTCACTGGGGCAGTACTGGCATCTGCTCTGGTACCTCATAGTAGTAAGTTATAGGAGATGAGTATAGTTGATTCTCATTATTTGCTGTAGTCGTGTTCTATAAAGTTACTATGAACTGAATTAGTGAATATTGGACTATTGTTTCTAAGGGAAATACAGTGTAAGACTTTTGCAAAAGTCTGGTCATAATATTTTCATACATCCATCAGTACATAACCTTGGTTTGTGTGTGTTTCAGTGTATAAAGACATGTCATTATTGATTCATTAGCTTTGAATTCATTATAAATTATGCCTGACTATAGCTTACTCCACAATTGTGTTTTCTCCGAAGGCACATTTGTGCTTAAAGAAAATCAGATAGCACTTCAGCACTATACTTGGGAGCCATTTTTAACAGTGGAATCACCAACAAAAAGTACAAAAATTTGAAAAATGTGGCACCAAATGGACCACAKAAATGACATTTGTTTACAGTAYAAGAGCTGAAACAAGAAGGCAGAACTTCACCTTGTATGACTTCAATGGGGTCATACCAGTCTGGTGACTCAAATTTTCTCCTGCTCCATGAATAATCTTGGAAGTGTCAGACATATTGATTTGGGGGTTAAAAACAAATTTTAATGAGTAGGCAGATTTGCAAATATGAAATCTGTGAGTAATGAGGTTCAACTATAATCAACTCCTTTTTCTATAAATTCAAATATATCTTTTAAAAAACATAAATATTTTGAGATATAATTTAGATAAACTGTCTTGACTTTTATTTAACATGAATTCTAAAGATATTACAAATTACGTCTCTTCTAATTGAGGATATTTTATCAATTATGTAAAGAAACGGAAGAACAAGCCCTTAAATCTATATTGAGCCTTATTTCCACACATAAATGTATGCCTGCTCAAGGGTGGGAGAGGTCAGATATATGTTAATGTTTTACAGGGCGAGGAGGACATAATACATTGATTACATTATAGTCCTTGGCAAGGGTACTTGACAGTTTGCTCATTCTAATACTTGTCTAAATCTAATTCAGTCTCAAGTCTCTCTTGCCTCTGTAAATTTGTGTTTCCTTATCTGTTAAATGAATGTTCATATCCTAAAAATATTGATCTTATATACAAGGAATGTATATTATCTTTTACATAATAGTTGTTCAACTTGTATTGTTTAGGTTATTATTTTAGTTGTAATTCCAACTATTTAAATGTTCAGTTTTGAAAAGGGACAAATATGAAAAATACACATTTTATTTATAGAATTGCAAATAAAAATTTATTTCCATTAAAACATCTCAATAATAGAAAATGTTGAAATTCTCAATCTCTCTCTTTTTTTAGAACTTTACTACTAGATGGAAATCCATTCCGTGTTCCTCGAGCCGCTATATTAATGAAAGGAACAGCTGCTATATTGGAGTATTTGAGGGACCGGATTCCTACTTAAATGATCCCAGTCATCATGTTAAATCTTAGAAGAATATTAAATTTTGTTTTAGTATCATCCTAAAGGTGATTGCTATAACTGATCTTCCAGTTTCTCAGTTACCACCTAGCCATTGGTATAATTGGCCTGGGCTATTATCACTGCCAATAAATATTTTCCATTGATAACTATTCAACATTTTTTCTAAAGTGTTGTGTACATTTATAACGATATTAACCACATACACTTATGGAGTGTTCATACATTTTGTCTGAATGTTTTCCACAGGATTTATCCTACATTTATCCCACATTCATTCCCTTAAAATTTGTAAGCACTTTCTTTGAAAGTGAATTTTTATGTAAGATGATTTAATATTTTTATAATAACAAAGCATTTTTGTAGAATTGGGTTTCTTTTTTCTCATTTCTTTTTGTAATCCATACAATATAACCAGTTGACTTGAATATGAGTATTTAATTTCTACTTTTTTATTAGATGTAAAACCAAAATGAAATTTATTTAATACTTTTTTGTGAGTTAAAAAAAAAAGACTTCATTACCTGTGATAGGACTTTTGTGATATGGTTGGTCTCAGTATAAATTTTAAATTAACATTTACTGTCTTATTTTGGCTTTAAACTAGTTGGGATGTTTCTTTTCTAATGATTGAATAAGTCTTTTCCTCCTATTTTATGAAATCATTTTATCAGATTTGCTAATTTCTCAAAAATAACACTCAAGATATGATTATTGGACAAAATAATGAAAGTGTATTATAACTGMTTTCACAATTTTGACTTTAAAATTTGGCATTTTTAAAAAAGTGATGCCTTAGTATTGTTTTCATATGATAATCTAGCTTTTAGATTTAGGAGAATTAAAGATTGGATCTGTATATTTTCCCCCTGGGGAGTGTAAGCATTTAATCACCTTTTGTCCATTAAGGGGGTAAAAAAATGAAGACCTTATTAATTCTATTGGTAGCAGCAACAGAAAACAACATATACCATATAGAAATCTTAAAGCTAATGTGATATAGTAGCACATGCCTGTAATCTCAGCTATGCAGGAGTCTGAGACAAGAGGATCACCAGTTCAAGGCCAGCCTCAGCAACRTAGTGAGACCCTGTCTCCAAAATGTAATAAAGGGCTCTGAGGATGTAGCTCAGTGCTTGTCTAGCATGTGTGAGGTCCTGGGATCAAGCCACAGTACCAGACATACACAAAAAGAAAGAAGGGCAGGARGGAAGAAAAAAGGAATGAATCTTAAAATGAACTTTGTTTTAAACACTTATTCAGCAGGTATTTGAATACTTAATATACTTGGGTATGTTTTAATCTGACTTGTGCATCTTTTTATTTTCAGCACTTTAATTTTAAAATTTACTTTGTCTTGATAAGATTAAATTTACAGTCATACAGTCATTTTCTAAAAGGGAATTTGATATAGATAAACTCAATTTAATAAAAATTAAATATAAACAWTTTTGTTTACACCAAAATTATCAGAATTAAGTTGATCAGTCATTGTGACACCATATAATTCTATTAAGTATCCAATTCAATAGCATGTTTATCTATAGATATGTAGATAGGTAACTTTTAGATGATTGAGGCATGCTTACATAATGAAAAATCATTGCTAATAAAGATAAATACATGTTCATAATAAAAATTACATTTTTCAAATATTGATTACAGTGTTTGTTTTTGTTTCTTTTAAAACATGCCCTTTTCATGTCACAACTCTGTTGCTAAGAAGTCTGCTTTGATAGTAAACAAAAGACACTTTACAATAAGGTGACATTTTATTATTTATACAATAAAGAGACTTTTATGTTATTCAAAACACTTTTTTTAAATACTGAAAAAGTTGAGTACACCAAAGCCGAAAAATGGCTCTGCTATACACTGCACAGCATTATTTTAGTCCCTGTATTTTATATCTGTACAGAAAGCATCTTCAAAATGCATTCTAATCACATTGTACACCTTTACCAATTAGTGTCAATACATAAAATAAAACTGGAGACTACAGCTTGCATTTGCAAATTAACCTACAAAGTCATTTCACTGATTCAGTAAATTTAAAATATAGATTCATAAGACTTCTTTGCACAGAAAATGAAGCGGTTTTCAAGGTTGTTATGGTCTCATACTGCAAAAAAAAACCATTAAGTACATTCACAATCTATGTTAATAAAGTAGTAAATATGTTCTCATTCAGTTTTATTTACATCAATGTTGTCCAACTAAAAAGTACTGTTAATCATGATACAATAGTCCTTTTAACACATACAAAAATGACAATTTTTATATATAATTTTAAGCTCAAAATCACAATTATCTCAAAATATTAATTACAATACAGCCATTTCAATTAAACATGTCATGATTTGATTTTTTTTATAAAATGTTAAAACTTTCTTTATTAAAGTAAGCAATTTGTTTGGAGTTGACTAGCATATACCCAAGTAGAAAATCTTAAATGTTAAGAGGTGTTTCCTGCCCCCTCCCACCCGAATTTGTATACAGCCACCTAGGCTAGCAAAGAGACAGAAAAGGCCCCAATTTATAAAGATTAAGCCTCTTTTGCTATACTGCTGTGGCCTGTTGGTTCTTCCATAAAAGCTTTACAAGGGGAGTATCAGTAAATGATGCAGTGAAATGCATGCATTAATATACAGTATGTCTATGTAAAATGTCAGCGTTTACTAATGCACATTAAAATGTTCACAAAGACTGCAAAAGAAGTCATAAGTAAAGAAGCACTTTATCTACTAATTGCATATTGTAAACTTGAAAACTACTTGTTAACATAATGGAATTTCTTTGAAATCAGATCCCAATTCAAGTTCTTTCTCTGACTAAAGGAACTCTGGTTACTTGGCCTTAAGATGTCACTGTTGTGCTGCACATATGGTAGTGAAGTCAGATATTATAAAAGAATATGACTCTAGAGACTGTCTTCATTTTACTAAAATAATGACTCAAAGTTGCATCACTGCCTAGGAATTTTTCTTAAACTTACAAGAGAGTGAAATATTTCACTAGCTGATTAATATGACCTCAAATGAAAAATTTGTGTTTGTATTTGGCACATATGAAAATATTAATTTATATAAGTGAAATTAGAACTTTATAGAATAATAAAAGCATTATGCCCCAAAATAACAGAGGTCAAAAGTAATTAATTATAGTTCAAAAAATAAAGAAAATTTTATACTTAACCTCAAAACAATATATAGAGTACCTTTTTTACTTATTAACAAATCATTTGAAAACTTACCACTGTTATCCTTTAGAATCACTTCTGTTAATTTAATATTTCTTCTCTGAATAGAATGAGACCATGGTTCATATTATGATTTACATATATCCAGTTCGGTGAGGGGTGCCCTTGGGTGGTGGTAAAATGGAAAAAATAACACTATATATGCAATAATCTACAGTAATCTTGCAGTAAACTTTTACAAGGTCATTTGTGATAGTCTTTGAGCAGAATTCTGTAGATTTACCTCTGATTTTCCATATTAAACTTGGGAAAAAATTCCTCCTCCTCATGTAGACAATGTTACCATCCCTAAGCTTCCTTTAGTCCCTTCTATACAATGTGTACAAAGAGAAACTTGATTGGTTCCTCAATCAAAATATATGTGGTTGATCTCTCAATTATCTTTCTCTTCATTCCAAACAAAATAATAAGGCTTTGCATTTTACAGGAGGAAAACTGTTAAAGAGAAATGCCTAATCATCATCGAGCAGAAGTATTAAAGATTTATTGCATTCCATTGACACTAGGTGTCATCAAAGCTAAAACTAAATTCTTAAGAGCAAAACAACATAAAACATTGTTTCTGACCTGAATCAGATGCCTTTCCCACATTCAAGACCAGTAAGAGTCCTCTTGGGTAGAAAGACCAGTATTGAAAATAACTTATTTCAATAGTACATTCTGAAAATAAATTAACGTTTCTAGCAAGTATGGGAACTGCTTTATATTCTTTCTGCCTGAGAGTTTCATCTTGGATTTCCTGACTAAATGAGAGATTCTTCAGTAGAGAGCAGGACAGTGCAAGAGGGATAGAGAGATACAGGAAATACAATGTGATTTTTTTTGTCCATTTGTCAAATGCTTTCCTTAATCCAGCTCTCTTAAAGGTCAACTGACCTGCATACTTAGGCATTATTTAACCTCATTACTTCAGCTGTGCAAAACAAATGAGCAAAGAAAAACCCTCCTATGTATACGTGTCTATACATAGACACAAAACCTGAGTCACAACAAGTTTTTATTATAAGAAAACTCTTCTTAATGTAGGAAAATAACCTATAAAGAGCCAAAAATAGCTTTGTACAATATATGCAGCTAACTTTAAAACTCACTGTGCTTAAGTATCGCATTTTATAAGACTCGGCAAAAGGGGATCATTTACATTGCTAATTTCCATAACTATAACTGAGATAACTACATTTTTTTATTTCTAACATATATTTTCATTCCCCTGAATTCATCAACTTTAGGGGAAAAAAATCTATACACACATTTAAATAAATCTTATTCAATTTCTGACAAACTTCCTGTTTTTTTCTAAATGTTGAKGACATAGGAGTTTGGGGTTACTAGTGCCAAGCAATGATGGAATTCTAAAGTTTAAAACATAATCTATTAAGAGAAACATTACTAGCAAAAATATTTTATAGATGGAGTTGAGCCAAAGTCTGAATGAAGTTATTCTTCTTTTCAGGCTCCCATTCTCTTCTCTATCTCCATCCTCCATTTCCTTAAGTTTCTTACCTTTTTCATACTTGAACACTGAATTATCCCAACTGAAGCTCCCTTGCTCACATGAAGCCACCAGTTACAGTGTCCTCTTTCCTTACCTACATCTTTGTTATTTCTCTCTCCAGTAGCTCAAGACTCTGGAATAATTTCTTGATCTCCCATCTGGTGCCATTTAACTAATCCTAGGAGAAAATACTTAAATGTCCCCACTGTCCTGTCATTTGATACTGATTCAAGGCTCAGTTCAGGATATAACTTATTCCCTGGGCTATATGTCAGATGCATATTGAGGATATTCTTATAGAAAAATGAGTGAAACTTGCTTTTCCATGTTGACCCCAGTGGTTTGTCATTAATTATGCATTAATCACTGACACTTTCGGAGAAGAAAGCCATCTGAATAAAAAGGTTAAATCCTCGCAGCTGTGGTTCAATGGGAGATCTGAATACTTGTATCAGTAGTTGAAGGAATTCTGGGCAATGCTTGTGTATGCTATCCTTTCTTCTGTGCCAGTGAGCCTGGTTTAGGGATAGGATGGGAAATGCACACAGGAGGGGAGGAGATTTTTGGCATTAGCAAGGGAACTGTAGTCTCCTGCCTGATTACCTACAGTTGCCTGAGAAGGATTTTGCATTGTGCAGAAGGCTAAAAGCAGAGTCACACTTTCTTTGCCAACAGACTTGTTGCCATGGGAACCAATGCAGGAAAATGAATATATGATGGGACATGAAGGATTAAATGTGGAAAAAATTGATAGGGAGTTGGTTTCTACAATTGAGCATTTGGGATTTAAAGAAACAGGGTGTTCCTCATGTATCCAGTTCAACAAAAATGGACAAAATGACTTGGCTGGTTGCTGTTCCTAGGAGGCAGATGTACGGAATGCCGGGAGAAAGGAATATTCATGTTGCCTATAAAGGGAACTTTGTAAAATCCAGTTCCATCCCTGATAAGGTTAAGCTCTTAAGCCCAAATGTTAAATTAAGTGTATGATCATATGTGTCCTTTGGGAAGACTTGATAAACAAAAGCAGCCTTCTGTAACAACTCTAAACCTAGCACATACTAGCTGACAAGATTATTGCACACCTAATATTTTATTGCTGAAGCATAATTCCAAGTACTCAGAAACAAAGAACAACAACAAAAATATATAATTTACAAATATATATATAGCTCCCCTCCCCAACAAGGCAACTGTTATAAGTAACCAAGAACTTAATTTCTTTTTAAGGAATGATTATTTCACTTGATAGGAGTCCTCCCTTTGTTCCCTCTTTGTCATTCTGGACCTCATAGTAAACTGATCAAACCAGACTGTCCAGGAAAATCTTTACAGGGATTTAGAGTTTTAGCCTTATCCGAAAACTACTTGCATGTTGTATTTGCTGAGGCTCCAAGGAGACTGCACCCTTCCTGTCCACCAAACTTCCAAAAGGCTATCTGCTAAAATTCTTTATTTAATGCCTTATTCCTATTGCTTTAGACATAGCCTACACTGAAATGTAGTTTTTCTGAGGAGACGAGGAAAGGTCACACTGTCGATGACTTGGCCCTTCCTGGAAAGCTAGTATTAGTGACACCCTTTACCTGAAGTCTTCCTCTTCCCTCAAACATGGAGGAAAAATAAAAAAAAAAACAACTAGAAACATAACACTCACCTGGACAATGGATAGGGCTACATTGCTTAGGGCCTTACTACGGTGCTCAGGAGTCCAGGAAGCAGGAGACAAACCAGTATTGGGTAATTATCTTTAGGGTACATCTAATGGCAAATGGTTTGAGTAAAGTAGGCTTTTCTGCAAGAAATACACTGGGCACAGATTTCACTAGAAATGTTTTCTTACTAATGACTTCCTGATCTATTTGTTAGAGTTCCTTACTGAAGCCTTTAATAATCTCAACAGTGACTTCTTGAAATGTCAAAAGCCCATTAGTTTCTTTCCTTCCAAGAGTACTTAACAGAATTCTGAAATCCAATAAAGTGTCTGAATTTTCTAACACTTATAGTTTGGAGGCAAACTTGATAATATGTGTAGGACTCTAAACAGATGGTATAGTATAGTGGTCTTGCTTATGCTAAGCAAATTTCTTATATCAATATTCCAATAATTTTCAGGATTGGAGACTTCCAAACTTGTGTTTTCTTTTCTTTTTTTTGCAGGTAGAAATAACCTGATGCAAGACTCTAATCTTGATTGCTACATGAAGCCTTGTTTTTTTATAAAGGACAGGTAAACAGATTTCTTCCTGAGATAGGATAGTGAAACACAAGGGGGTCTTCATAAGTGGCTATTCTGTTGAATTTGTGATAGGATAGAGAGATTTCTGCTTTTCATATCTATATGGTCTCTTTGTTTTTGTAGTACAGGGGATTGAACCCGAGGTGTTCTACCACTGAGCTGACCCCCAATCCTTTTGTTACTTCAAGACAGGGTCTCGCTAGATTGCTTAGGGCCTTATTACGTTGCTCWGGCTGGCCTTAAACTTGTGATCCTCCTGCCTTAGCCTCCCTAGTTGCTGGGATGCAACACTGCCCAGCTCCCTATGGTCTAAAATCAGCCAGCTGATACCTGGAGGAAGCCTAGCCGGTCAGGACTGAATTAAAGACTGAGCAGTTTTTGTTGTGGCTGTCCACTGATCCTCTCACTAACAGATAATACCTTGGACAAACTTGAGCTTCTCCAGGGAGAGTATTTAATAATTTTAGCACATCTATTCATTCTACAAACCCTATAAGTTACTAAGAATTAAAATTCTGCTGCTTCAATTTTTAAAACAATTTGAATTATGCTTTTTCTCTGAGGTCATTGAAGTGATTCTCTGCTATATCACATACACAGAGTTACCGAGAAGATCTGGTGTAGTGGGCCATGTGGCCATTTCAGCCATTCACCTAAGTGGCATGCATCAGACGTGATCTGTGTCTACCTTGTTCCAGGTGCTCTGTACTTTATTCACTAGAAAATTTTATCTTAGGTGTTGTTCAAGTTTCTATAGTTCCCATTCTGTACTTTAATACAAAGTCTCCACCTCATGTGTTTGCTAACAGTAAGAAGTGTCATTTTTTTTTAATATTTAGGTACATAATAAGTGTTTACGATATGCAAGTCTATAAAAAGTCCATACAATTTTAATTTGGTGTTTAACACACAAATGATTCTTTTAAAGCAAAGATATCAAGAGACACCAAAGGTTAACTTCTATACTTCTATTCTTTCCTTTTCTCAAATTAATCCCTGCCATCTGAACATTAGACTTTGTTATCAAACCTTGAGTTACATGCTGGGTCTTCAGCGTCCTTACTCCAGGGAAGAGGAGCTGCCCGTGATTCCTCTGACTTTGACCCCTACAGGGCATCCCACTGGAAGGACAAAGTCAAAGGCAAGTGGAAAGGTAAAGCTTTGCTGGTCTATGACTACTCCTCCCCTGTAGGATTTATTCCAGATGAGACTGCAGTTCTTTATGTCTCCACTGTCATCTGAGACTTGTCCTGTTTGAGGGAAAAAACTGTGTGTGTGTGTGTGTGTGTGTGCGTGTGTGTATGTGTGTGTACACATAGACAGAGCCTGTCTTCCTAAGGGAACAGAAAAATGTTTCTTATCCACAGTAAAGCCAAACAGAAACATTTGCCATTTTATTAGACTGTGAGAGAAAATGACAATACATTGTTCTGTGCTCCCTATTTTGTTCTTATATTTATTAGACTTTTCATATGTCTGGCTTACTACTAGACTGTGTATCTTGAAGAAGAGATAATGGTTTGTTGGTATTTATGGTTCATTGTTCTCATAGTTGACTTTGAACATAATCCTTTTCTAATTAACATTTGTTGATTAAACTGGACAGCAAGAAAAATATATGCTTTTAAAATCACTGATTTTTTTTAAGGAGAATAAATACTAAAGACAAAYCTAAGATGGTCCAGAGTCTGCCTTAGCTGAGAACCATTTAAACACCTCTCTAGGACCTGTGGGTGCTCAGTGGCAGAGCACTTGCGTGCTAAGCATGCCCAAGGCCCTGGGTTCAATCCCCAGAAATGCCACCTCCCTAAGCTACATCTGTTCACACCAGCAGGTCTGGGGGATTTTCAAAACACAAATAATATAAGATGTAGGTGAGCATGCTGGGAATATTCATGGAAAGTAAAAAAGGGAAAAAAGAAATAGTCCCTTACCTTTGAGTAGTTTATTATGATCTAGAGCCCTAGGTTACATAGATAGCAACTATGATTTTTAGGAAATATGCAGAAATTAGAAAAGGGGAGAGATATGATATTGAGAGAGAGAGAGAGAGGTGTGTGTTTGTGTGTGTGTGTGTACAAAGAGAAGCAGGGGGAGGAGAGAGAGATTTTCTCAAGTTTGAACTCCTCTGGGAAATGACCACATAGATCTGCAATGTCATTAGCTGTGTCTGTGGGTTTATAAACAATATACCAGAGTGCTGGCCTCCTAGAGAAATATGCCTTGATCATAAGAAGACCTTGAAATCCTATCAAGTCCAAAAATATTGCCAAGGCAAATGATCCCAAAAGTTTGGCTGAAGAATTATGTTCCAAATTTGCTATCAGAGATAGCTGGTTTGAAATAAACAAAAGAACAGCCAGTAAAGAAATGTGTTACAAGTTAGAAACAGTTTACATAATGATAACACAGGAGAAATCCAGTTTGGAGAATGAGACTTGCCCACAACCTAACATCTTTCTTTTAGGGAATTCTGGCTTATTGAACACCAATAAAGTTAAGTCTTGCTTATGGCGATCATTCACTTATCCCTAAGGGAAGTGACACAACTGGACAGTCAGCACCTTGGGACAGGAAAGGTTTTAAAGGGTTTAATGCATTTGATAGCTTCACCACAGCTGCTGAAGGCCCTACCTAACCCAACCTCAGCGATGTTCCTGTTTGTTCTGCCTAAAAGCAAAGCTTCCGACCTCTTCACATCATGGAACAGAGAGAAAATGACAATGTTTGTGCAGCATTATGGGGCACAGATGTGTAGGAAAGTGAAAGCAATAAGTCATAAGCTCTCAGGCTCCAAGGGGATCGTTATCAGCACAAGAGGGAACTATGCTAGCCATTGGGTAGGAAGCACTGCTCCCAGGCACAAAAAATTAACCATATATGACCAAGGAGAAAAAATACTGTAGGTAATATCTGATACCAAAAATATATAGGTAGTATAATACCAGCAGAAAAAGCACAAAGAACTATTGGAGTACCTAGAAACTTACAAGGAGTTTTCTCATCATTCTCAGTAAAATTCTTCCTAATTTTCATTCTCATATTTAGTTCTCTGACTAAATCTATCAAAAGCTTATGGAAGCCTGACAACRAAATAGAAAATAAGACAAATAAAAAATGCCAAATGCTGTGTTCAAAAGAACAGACCCGTGACAGACACCTGCTATAATTGCTCTAAGATCTGCAGCAATATTGTGTATAAGTTAAATTTGTTCAGGAGATTCTGAAAAGAGAGGAAGCATATCCCAAGGTGGCTGGTTCAAGGTAACAAAGTTATAAACACCACTCACCTGAGAAAGTTGAGTCCAATTTGCTAAGAAAGAGCCTAGTAGCTGAGCTGGTGATCATGTGGCTAGAAGAAACAATTTCCTTTGGAGGAAAATGCCCAGGTATTGAATTTTACATAAAACTTCAGGGAGGAACATCTTGTATTCCTTCTGCTTTTGTTTTCGGTTGGAAGAAAAAAAAATATTAAGTGGTTGGCAGAAAAATACTATATATGCACAAATAAGTAGGGTTTTGATGGGATTAGCAGAGGAGAAGCCCAGCCACGGGTGCTAGTGAACTGGAAGAGTGAAGATATAATTAGCTTAGAAGAAGTAAACAGAAGCATTTAGSTTCTTTAACAATGATCCAGCCATCAGAGGCCCTGAAATTCCAAATACCTAAGAACCAAAATAGCCTGAGGATATGTGTCACCCAGGCTGCCAAGGCTCTGTGCCTTTGACATCCAGTCAGTGTAGCCAAAAGAAGAGAGGCTTGGGGATACTGTAAGCTATCCCTGGAATCTGGTTTTCGCCTTGAGATACTTTTTGAAATACATTGCTTATTCAGTTCATAATTTTAAAATCTGATTATAATATTATTCTCATTCCTTGTGCAGATAGATAYAATGAAAAATTATCAGTTTATAGCAGATGCCTCGTTACCACCAGATGCCTGCTGAAAATAAAGCTAAACAGATACACACATATTCAGATGGATTAGTTTTAGAATTATATAAAGGTTATTCTAGGCAAGCTTAGTTCTTGATGTTTAGTTTTTGTAGGGCTCATTTAAATTTTAAGCAATTTATAGCAAATATATTCCCACATATTTGGACTTAGCATACCTGTAGGAAGTGTGGATTAAATAATGGGCAATCAACACAAAGACTTGGAGAAGCAAAAGCAAGTTCGAGACCTATTAAATTGATGAATGTGATAATTAAATTGAACTATTAAGAAACATGAAACCTTAAAACACACACTCATCTAAAGCTTAGAGAGAGAACAGAGCTGATGTCCTGGGTGTTTGATGCCACTATAGCGATTTAGTCAAATATCACTGAAACCACTTAAAATAAACTCAAAGCTCTTTTATTTTTCTCATGTTCACAGTATAGTTCCAAATTAATTCTCTCAAAAGAGTATGAAAAGGGGTGTTTGCATTAGTCCAACCGTCTACAAGGGAGTTGAAATGCCAAGGCGCAGGTAATAAAATCAACATATAATGCCGCCATCTAGTGGTGGATCTTTTTCACTGCAGAGATAAGTTCCTTAAAAAGTATGTGGGTGTAGTTTATGAAGATTTGAACTCAGTAATTTAAACTGAGGGTTTTATTGGATTGAAACACATGATTTGTTGCTTTATCAGTTTTATCAGAGAGACTTTGTAGCCCCTGGAGGAATTTATAGCATTAACTCTTTCCTGAAGGGAGGGAGACAAAGGAGTCAGATCCTCTCAAGATCCTTTTCAGTCAGTCTTAGGACAAGACAATAATATATTTCATTTCTCCACAAAATTTTACATATATCAATATTGTCTGATATTAGACTTTGTTTTCATTTTTTTTGGTGCTGGGGATTGAACCCAGGGCCTTGTGCATGTGAGGCAGGCACTCTACCAACTGAGCTATATCCCCAGCTCAACTCTGACAACTTTTAATGAAATAAGTTGTAGTGATTTTACTTGTTCTGAGAAGATGCATGACTAGAAAAGTTACCAATACATTGCAAAAACAGCTCCTAGAAATGCATACAATTAAACTAAATATATTTATAATAGATGAATTATTTTTGTGTGTTGAATTGACACCTGGAAGAGCTGAAGCATCACTCTTTCAGCCAGAAGAAAGGAGAGGGTGAGAGAGAGGAAGGGAATCCAGGGATGTATGAAGTAGGGCTACCAATGTCAAGAGACCAAAGGAGATGCTGGAATCTGATTTCTTTCATTCTGTTTCTTTTATTCTTCTTTACCAATCTTCTATCTCTCTTTTCCTTTGCTCATTCTTGTTCCTGTAATAATTTAATTTCCCCTACCCAGTCCTCATCTGCTCTTACTCTTAGTTACTATTCAAAAATTCTTTTACTTAAAATACTAAAGTACTCTTACTCTTCTCCACTACTCTTTCCCCTTTACTATCCTAAGATAGCATCATTCTTTCAATTAATATTTCATTTTTCCATTTCATTTTTCATATCATTTTTGTTCAAGCAGACTTGGCATTCCTTTCTCATGCAAATATACTGACGCTGGCCTATCAGACCAAACAGTAAGACCTTGGATAGTCTGAGGCAGCAGACTGTCAAAGAAGACAATGATGGAAGTTTCCTCTAAGAGAGACTCATGACCTCTAGATCTTTCTAAATCCAAAAATTTCATGAAAAGAAGATAATTAGCCAAAACAGAGAGCTAGCAAGTTCTCCTTATAAAAAGGCACTTGAAAAGCAGAGGCAGGATGACAGTAATTAGTATTAGTTCTATAAGCAAAATAATAGACAACAAAGATTTGATGTATGGGAATACTCAGTTCTGGAATCAATTTACTATGAAGCACAAAGAGAAAAACATGGGACATATTTTTGAAAGAAGCTAAGACAGCAATGTTTTGTTTGCAAGGAAATCAGGTTTTCATGAGCAATAAAGTGACCATGGTTAGGAGTTAGGAACTCACCAACTTGGGGCTCATCGTACTAAGACACAATTTTTCTTTTAAGGGGCTGAATTCCACTTTTTGTCCTGTGAAGGAAAAAATCTAACAAAGCCACTGTTCATGACAACTTAAACATGTTCTCATTCTCCTTTGTGATCAACAGGCCAAATTATGATCCTTATAAAAATTGGGGGGAGATGGTTTAATCAATATGATCTTGTTTTTTTGGGGGGTGTGTGTGTGTAAGGTCTATCTGAATAGTCAATCATACCAATTTGAGGGGAAGGTGGAATGGTGCTGGGGATTCAACCCAGGGCCTCAGGCATGCTAAGTAATGCTCTACCACTAGGATGGATCCACCCAGTCTGCAACCCCCAGGTCTAATCACAGCAATTCTGTAGTTTTTGCAGTCGCCTGAGAAATTTACCTGGAACTTATCACATTTTCACTATACGGGTACAGGAGGTGGGATCCATCCATGAAATGATGCTAAAATGCAGGGTGTAGACACTGTCATGCTCAGCTGTGGCCAAAGGCCTATGCAGAGACAATTTTTTACTCTTCTTTACTCTGTAACAGGCAGCATGAGGAAGCAGTTAAATTTCAGAGCTAAAAGGGAATAGGGATTCCTTCTTCCAAACTACCCTACCCCTATTTTTCTTTCAAAACTCCATATACTCTTCTCCCCACCTCCAACTTRTGAAAATAGCTTAGTCAAAGTAATATACCAAGTGGCAATGTACAAAGAATGGTTAAAAAGGGTGMAAAACCAGACTTAACTATGTACTGTCCCCTCCTTAGTTTAATAGTCTTCAGGGCCTTGGGGACTCTTGGTAAAATGAGGGAACTGGGTTTGATTATCTCTAAAATGCCAAAATCATGGCCTTCTGAGTTCAGCCTCATGCATTCATTCCTCTAAGATATTTCTGACAACTATATGCATGAATTTTTCCCAGAAGAGAAATGAAACAAATTCAAAGAACAGATATGATATGCTCCAATTTAGTGAACACAAGCCACTTCTTAAATGTTTTAGACAGGGTTAGGTGCTTAGAACACATAAGAGGGAAATTAAAAATAATTTCTTATATATCACAAAAGACCTAAGAGTTTTTAGAAGAAATGCCAAGGAGAGAAGGAAGATCAAATTAAAAGAGTTTTTTTTTTTTTTTTCAAAACTAGGAATGGTGAATGAACTGAGAAGATACAAGGTTCATGATTTAAGGTGATGAAAATTGAACATCAATTTCCTTTTTAATTCAATATTTATTAAATGCATTTATGGGTGAGGCCTGTCATCCATTTAAACAGTGCACAAATATATATTGAGCATCTACTGTGTTTCTGACACGAAGACAAGCATTAGGATGTAGGGTTAGCAGAAGCAAAGGTGTCCTCCTAAAGTTCTCTCCAGAAGGCCTCTGTTAAACATTGTCTGATCCTCTCTCAAGGAGGTTACAGTTGATAGGAGAGAAAAAACAAATACCAAAATAGCTGTCATTTCAGGCAGAATGTGAAGATACTACAAAATAAACAAAGTATCATAATGCATAATTCTTTCCAGTAAGACTAGGGAAGACTTAATGTTTGGAGTGCTGTTGAAGCTGGATCTGAAGTCTGCATATGACTTTGATAAATTAGAAAGGGAACGAGGACAGGAAGGCTTTCCTGTAGAGAAACTTGTGGGGACAGAAGCTGCAAAAGCACAGGGAAGGGGAAGGATCTCTGTGTCTAAAACACTAAGTACACATAGCATGAGGGGAAAATAACTCAGATTCTAGGATCAAACTTTTCTTGGAAGAATAGGTGTCTATGATACATGGATAGGTGTGATCCAACCTCATACAAATAGTATTTTCATGGGATTGGGTGGAAATCTTGCAATGAGAATTTTCTTTTCTATATCAGGCAGCATGAGGCAGCAGTTACATTTCAGAGCTAAAAGGGGTTGGGGATTCCTTCTTCCAAACTACTCTATCTTTATTTTTCTTTCACAACTACAAGTGAACTCCTAAATTCAAAGGCAGCCAGCTGAATGAAGGTTCAACCCACTGCATTCTTGAGCTGCTCATGCTAACATTAGACCACTGTGTTGAGAGTCTGCCTACAGGAAGCAGTGGTCACAAGAGGCATTGCACATATAAGAATGTTTTCAGTCAACACCTCAGTCTGTCCAAGCATTGACTCACATCTCCTCCCATCATGTAAAGGGCACACAGACCCAATTGGCGCTGGGCCAGGTAGAGGAGCRCCATTCCTCATTATGTTCCCTTTCCTCTTTAGGGCTTACAAACTGACAAAATTATGGCCTCTCTTCAAGATGCTAAAGGGATTCTGGTTTCTATTTACCTTGTCCAACAAGGTATTCACACTATGCAGTTTCCCTAAGTCCTGCAAACATTCACGGTGGCTTCCCAGAGGCAGTAGGACACAGTAGGGAGCCCTACTGGCAGCTACACATGGAGCAACTGCGTTCAGATTTGACTAGATACAGGTGCCAATTCCTTTGCCAACAGATGAGTTAAGGGCAAAGGACAAAGGATCTCACTGCATTGTCACGTACTGTCTGGAATTTTGTGAGGTCCCTGGGATGAGGAGACTACATGATCTTCCTTGTGGTGCCTGATAGGTAGTTGACGCTCAACA